GGGAACCTTTCAACACGATCTCTGGGTGGGTACATTTCAGTGTCCTTACGGGTTTCTGCCAGTTGGGGCCCAGGACATGACCTGTGACTATCTCTCCCTCAGCACCCTTGGGACCGACCTCTGCCACCACCTTTGTAGAGCCCTGCAGGAGCCCGTCCCTCTCGGACCTTCATGACGCACTGCCTTCTTTCCAGCAGCTTCCTGGTGTACAGGGCTGTGACAACGATCGTGTTTGTCAAGGCCCTTTGCATGCTGTGCCCATGGGTCATCCAGCTCTCTTCCTTGTGCTGCCCTGGGTTTTCTGTAGGGGCTGCTCTGAACTCCTGTGTTGCTCACTGGCTTGTGTCACTGTCCCCAAAGGCTCTAGGCACCCTATGGCAGCTGGGATGCATGGAGCTTGGTGGACTGGCCCAGGGTGGGGAACTAAGCTCTTTCTTTTTGTGTGGAGTAGTTAGTGCCAAGGGCCTGGCACCTGAGACCAGGTGGTCTCGGCTGATGGTGACTTGCCAGACTGCCGTGCTGGGCTTCCAGGAGGTGGCAGTGTATGCACACATAGGTCTGCTGGTGCCAGCTGCCACAAGGCTGGCCTGCTCTGGTGCCACTGGGAAACAACTGGCAGGGGTCTCTATTTCAGGAAAAGCCTCTATGTGCTCTGTCCTGCGAGGCAGATCCGAGTCAGCGTAGATGGAGCAGCACTGTCCTCTTGCGTGGTGTTCTGAACATCTGCAGTGCAGCTCATGTGGCCGAGACCCCAGCTTCCTGCTTTGCTGAATTTCCATTTAGGTAGTAGGGATAGTGGACAGCACAGGTCTAGCTCTGGTTCTCAAGTACCACCAGCCCTACCATCCCAAGGGACATCTGTCACCACTGGGGGTGGTCTGGCTTGTCACCATCGGGAGGAACTCTGTTAGCACCTTGTGCGCAGAGGCTAGAGGTGCTGCTGAACCCCATACAGCACTTGGTAAAAAATGTTGTGACTTCTGGAGGTTCCTTAAAAAGCTGGAATTAGAAGTCCCAAAAACGTTGCGACAGTATGTTTCTGTGCTGAGACTCACCCTTGGCACCGCCCTATGACGAGGCTGGGACCCAGGGTTGGCCATGGAACAGAGATGTGGACTGAGGGTGATAGCCTGGTGCTCTGGCTACTGCCAGGAACCAGGTGGGCCACAAGCATGTCTTTCAGTTTGCCGCTGTGACTCCCAGAAGCTCTCCGACCTCCCTCACTTGCTCCCTACAACCAGTGCACCCCTAGACTGTCAGCTGCTTTCAGGAAGCACACCAGACCCCCCCCCCCCAGAGGCTGGGCGGCCGCTTTGGGAAGCGCCACAGCCATACAGAGAGGCACTTGGGCAGCCCTAGCAGGCGAGCTACTTTGGGCTTTTATTCCAGACTTACCTCCTCATGCCGCACTGGGCCGCAGCCGCCTGTGTCAGCACTGTACTTTGCCCCAGTGCTTTCCTGGCCATCCCTGGCTTTGGGTCCTTGGTAAGACAGCTACCTCATTCTCTCCTCAGCCCCTGAGGTGTGTCCACTGCGTGTTCTTGGCCAGATGCCTTTGGGGTCTCCTGGGCTGTGGCAGTACGGGATCAGCAGGTGGCGCTGTGGCACCAGGGTCAGCTTGCATATCACTGAGGCCAAGAGCCTGTGTCACACATAGCCCTTGTCAGTAGGGGTGTCAACTCACCTGCAGGCCTGCGGTGTCCGCATTCCAGGGCCGGCCACAGGAGGTCTCAGGGTGCTCAGACCTACTGCTGCTTCCCCCCTTGTGGCTAAGCCTGCACAGTGGCGAGACAGTGTTGGTGACAGGCCCATGGGCCGTCTCTCCCTCTTGCTGTGCTTGGCACTGCTTCTCGAGAATCCAGAAAGAGATTCTGTTTCTCCTGCCTTCTCTTGTTTACTCAACCTTTCGTAAAAGCATGATAGCCCTACTCGGCATCCAAGAACATCTTACCCAGAAAGCCGAGTCGGGTTCAGGTATTTGGGGCTGACGTGTGTCTGCCAAGGACACATCTGCCTTTGATTACTTCTCTACTGGCCTTTCCCTGTGTCATTGGACCCCAGGCCATGCCATCACTGACTGCCAAGTGCTGTTAGAAAATTGGGGTGGCATGAGTTTTTGCCTATGCCCTTTAAACACCTCAGAACTGTTATGTGAGTGGCAGTCCCCAGGAGGCATAGCAGGGAGGCCAGAAAGCTGCGTGGTGAGAGAAGGGCGCCGTGATGGGCACAGCTGTGGGCTGGCCTGGGGGACCCGGCAGACCCCTTGGAGAGCTGTGCACATTTTAGGGGCGGGGCGGTGGGGGGGACTCTGGACATGTCCCATGTGGTGCAGGCCAGGGATCCTGCTGGCAGGGGCGGCCCTGAGGAAGCAGGCTGGAGACAGGCTGGCGTGTGAGTGGGCCCCAGCTCGTGCTGCTGAGTTGCCTTTCCCACGTGCCTCTCAGCTGTTGCTGTAGCACCAGCCTGGCTTGCTCACCACCGTGGGGTGGAAGTGGTGCCTTCCCTGGGCTGTCCCATGTTTCCTCTTGCTAGGTAGGCTGGCAGGGCTTGTCCCTCTCGGAGCCAGGCCCCAGGCGGACAGGGTAGGGCAGAAAAGGCAGGCTTGGGCCCAGCTAGCAGCCTCCAACGTGTCGCCTCATTTCCTAGGAAGTGCTTCCTGTGCCTGGCATGGGAAGAGGGCACCGGGAAGGTCCCGTTTCTGGGTGTTAGGTATGGGGTGGAGCTGTGAAAGGCATGGGCCTGCCTGGTGGCACCATGGCTTGAGAGGACTGACAAAGGGCAGGGCATGGAGCCTGCATGGCACTCTGGTGTGCACTGGGCCCTCCATGAGGGTGCCTGAAGATGTCTTCAAAACAGACCTGGCTGGCACATTGGGAAAGGGTTCCTTGTGGAAGGTAGTAAAGCCGGGGAGTGTATTCTGGGGACAGCTAGGACAGTTACCTGATGATGGCATCCCTGCGTGCCTGGTTGGTTGGGTTTGTCTCCCCCAGGGTGGATAGGAATGCCACAGGTCACCAATAGGCAGGAGGTGTCTGCAGGTGACTTCTCAGAGTTGATGCGTAGTACCCCATCCCATGGCTTGAGCTGAGGAGCAGGCACAGTCCAGTCCAGCTTGTGTGGCTAATACCACAGCCTGGATGCACTGGGAAATTGTGTGGGCAGGAAGGGAAGGCCTGTTCAGGACAGGCTGAGTTTGGAGTGTAGGGACATCTAGTAGCTGGCAGTTACCCACAAGTGCAGGCAGCAGCTGAACCCTATTGGGGTGAGGGGGGGCCAGATGAAAACAGGATGTGGAGCAGAGCTGTGGGTACGGGGGACCTGGCCCACAAAGTGATGGTCCAGAACCTGCTTCAGGCAGGTAGGAGAGACAGGGTGGCGCAGAAGGGAGCTGTCCTGCCCTCAGCTGAGCAGTGGGGGTGTCTTCCCAGAGGCTCGCTGGGGTGCCCAGCAGGTGAGGAGTATCTGCAACAGTAGGCCAGACGAAAGGGAGCTGGAGGCTGGGACTGGCCTGTGCTCTGGGGTGGCACCAAAAAGAGGGCCATGCCTTGCTGTTGCCAGTGCCCTGGCCGTGGCTTCCTGGCCACCAGTGGCCTGCATGGATAGCCAGGTGATAGCCCTGGGAGCTCCCCAGCTGCTGGGTCCCTGTGCTGGCCACACCACCCGATGGCATGCCTCCCCCCCCCCCCAGCTGGAAGGAGGGGCTTCACCCTGGTCCACGGCAGGTCTGGGCCTGGCCCACTGGCCTTGCCTTTGTCCAGGCCCCTGCCAGTCAGCTGGGTGGCCTCTTGCTGCCTCCAGCAGCACCCAGCAGCACTTCCACCTTCAGGGCTTGCCCAATGGGGCCAGGCTGGTGGGCAGCAGGGCTGAGACAGGGAAACCCGAGCCCCGGGCCACGAGGTCTGGGCCGCTAATTTTAGAGAGCACATGTCATTGGAAACTCTCCACTCCTGCCAGGAATCCACAGCCTGGCTCTCCCCGTGCCGCCAGGGGCCCCTGGGAGCTTCTCCCCTGACTGGGAACTCTGGGGGCCTCTCTGCCCTGGGGGCGTAGCCAGGAGGGGCTCTGCCATACCTGAGAGCCTGGCCAGGCCAGAGGCAGTTCCCGCTCTGCTGTCCGCACTGCCTGCTGCCTGGCTTGCAGTTGGGAGCGGTGGGGCCTGGCGAGGCTGGGAGGCAGCTTCATGTGTTCTGAGCAAGCACTTTCCTTGTAGAGCCATGGCGCAAGCAGATTTTCTTCCTTTTTCCTGACCTGAGCCTGTGTGCCAGGGCTGTACCCGGCCCCTTCGTGGTCACCTTAACAGCTTAAGCAGTGCTTGTCCTAGGGCTGCAGGGAAGAGCCTCCCAACTGTCCCTGCCACTGCTCAAGGGTAGCATCTGCCCCAGCTGTTGCCTAAGTGCCCTAGTTCTCCCATGTGTCCCCGCTAGCCCGAGAGGGCCTCTGCTTGAGTGTTAGTGTGTGACAGATGCCCGCGTGGTACCGCGTGACCAAGGCACTGAGTAGGCGGCAGTCCCGGCCATGGGCCATGGAGGCAGACACCCGAGTTACAATTGCAGCCGTGTCTGTTTCCGGCTGTGGACTCGGCCCTGTCACTGTCCCCTGCCAAGCACCAGTTTCCTCCTCATTAAAATGCGGGCAGCAACAGCAGCTGCCTCCTGAGATAGATAAGAGGGTCTGGCTGACATGTTGTAAGTACCCACATCTGTCAGCCACTGTTCCACTGAGGCAAGCCTGGCCTCGCAGGCCGGGAGCGGTGCTGAGGCTTGCCCGGTGCATCCCGGCCCCAAGGGGAGAGTGCTGGTGTTCTGGGACCTCGTGTCCCCGGGCTCTTGCTCCTAAGCCCCGCACACACCACCTCTGCGTGGGCATGTGGGGGCCCCACCTTGCCCAGGTATCGGCAGGCCTGGGCTGCAGGCAGGTGGGCAGGGAGGGGCGCGGCTGAGACCAGCCTGCCAGCCAGGTTGCCTTCACCTCTTCCTTCTCCTTCCTGTAAACAATTGCAGCCTGCTTAGACGCCTGGTGACTCTCATCTCCCAGCAGGCCACACTGCTGGCCTCCAACGAAGCCTTTAAGAAGCAGGCGGAGAGTGCTAGTGAGGCGGCCAAGAAGTACATGGAGGAGAATGACCAGCTCAAGAAGGTGCACCCCGCCTGCCCAGCTTCCTCAGGGCTGTGAGACTGCTGCCATCCTGCAAGCTGGGGCGCAGGGTCTGGTGCAGGCACAAAGGGGAAGTTGTCCATGGGAGTGCAGTGGGGGGAAGTGGGTGTGGCCACTGCCAGTTAGTCCCCAGCCCTGGTCAGAGTGAGTCCCTGGTAAGCTGGGACCCCCGCCTCTTGGGTGAGACCCCTGTTCGTACCCCTATACCACCAATGCTATATCCCTGTCGTGGAAGGCTCTGCCAGGGAGCAGGTAGGGCCTGGGTTGTGGGCCCGTCCTTGAAGACCTGTCACAAGAAGCGAAGTGCGGGCCAAGCTTGGAAGGAGACAGATGGATTGGGAGTTGCAAGTGGGGTGCAGCTGGATGGGCAGGGCAGGTTTGGGGTCACTGGCTGCAGTAAGCAGCCCGAGCCAGGGGTAAAGGCCGCAGTAGTCACTTGGGAGTGAGTGGCAGAAAGCTCTGCCTCCAGATGAGGTGGTGAGCTCCATGGGGCAGCTGAGCCTCACCGGTGAGGAAGGAGGCAGGGCCTGCAGCCAGGGCAGGCAGGGTGTGTGGCTTGTGTGCTGCAGCAGGTGGCCCTGCTGGCCCTGCCCTGGCCCTCGGCGGCTAGCCACATCCTGGCCTTTGCTGGGAGTGAGCAGTGGCCCAGTTCTGTGTTGACATGTCTGAAGCGGTGAGTGCCCAGGGCAGCTTGAGGAACTGCAGCTCGGGAAGGCCTGGGCTGGAGCCTTGCCTCCCTCCCGCCCGCCCAGTGACCTGGCCCGTGGCACTTTTCCTAGGGGGCCACTGGGGACCAAGACAAGCTGGAAAGTGGGGATGCTATATCGAAGGTGGCAGAGGAGAACCAGAGCCTGAAGGCCAACCTGAAGAAGCTGGAGGACGAGCTGGCCGACTCCCAGCAAAGTGAGCCCCCCTGTGACACACCAGGCACAGGCCTGGTGGCCTTGCCCCTTGCCAGGCACAGGCTTGGGAATCCCCGAGCAGCCCTGGAAGCTGCCTGTGAGCATGGCAGGGAGTGGACAAGAATTTGAGGTGGTTTTGTTTTGGAAAATCTAAACTGGCTCTCCACGGCCTCCCCACCCCAGTCGGCATGCAGACCAGCCTTGCTCTGAACTGGGATATTACTCTTAGTCTCTCACCTGCAGCCTCACCAAAGGTCACTCCTGCTGAGAGCCACTTGGGTTTGCTCAGCAAGGGGGGCCACTGGACTCCTGTGTCATTTGGCTTCACAGAGCAGTCTGGTCCTTCCCGGGCATGGGGGCTGCAATGGCAGCTGGCAGCATTGGAAACAACACAGTTGCACTCATGCAGATTTGGGGTGCTTCCTCCCGTTTTAGCCAGTCCCAGTCTTCCCATGTCTTCGTTACTTGCAGAACTTGAGAAGGCGGAGAATGAGGTGCTGGCCATGCGGAAGCAATCTGAGGGCCTCACCAAGGAGTACGACCGGCTGCTGGAGGAGCACGCCAGGCTGCAGGTCAGAGCCCCGCTGTGGTGGGCATCGCGAGTGTGGCCCTGCTGAGGAAGTTCCTCGGTGCTCTGGGCCTTCCCTTTGGCTGGCTGTCTCTGTGTCCCATGTGGCTGAAGGTGATGGTCCGCAACCTGACCTGGTCGGGCTGTCCCGGGGTGACCAGAGGCACATGTGGTCAGGAAATCAGCTCATGTAGCTCATAACTGGTGACCCCAATTTGGGCACTGTGGTGTGGCGGGGGAGTAGGACACCTGGCATCAGTTCTCTCTGACTGCCACGGAAGCCCCGAAGAAAGAGGCCCTTGCTGCTCCTCTGCCCCATGCCATCCTCCCAGGCCAGCACTGTGCAGGGTGGAGGAGGCGGTGACACACCCCTGGGTGGGCTTCCTGTACCTTCACAGGCCGCGGTAGATGGCCCCACAGACAAGAAGGAGGAGTGATGAGTGACACCGCCCGCTCCCCTGCCTGTGGCCGACCTGCGCTTGCCGCTCTGGGAGCCCAGCTTCTTTCTCCCTCTAGTTCTCCCTCCCCTCCACGGCTTCTAGCAGCACCCTGGTCCACCGCAGACTCCCGGCACCCCAGCGGGGCTGAGTGTTACTCCTTGTCTGGTCTGCGGGGCCGCGGGCCGCCTTCCCTCTGGGAGTGGGGGGCCCTGGGCCCCACCTGCCCCCACTCGCACTTCTGTCGGTCCTGCCCGAGCTCCCTCCTTGTGCAGGCCCGCTGGTTTTCCCTGCAGGCAATAAAAGTTGTGATGTGATGTGTCTTCGTCCTGTCCTCTTGCCTGTTCGTGATGACTGAGCCTAGGGAGGGCCCACCGCCTTGCTCTCTGGCCCCCCACCCTAGAGGAGCCCGGCTGCCAACCCCCCCCCCCCAGGGCGGGACAGGCCTGCCTTTGTGGCTCTTGGGAGTGTCAGGCCTGTCAGCCTCCCTGGGGGGGAGCTGAGAGAACCCGCAGAACTTCCTGGTGGCAGACTTGCGGGTGCCTGCCTGCCTCTTCTTTTTTTTGAGGTCGGGACAGGACGGGAGAATGGACTGAGAACGTGGCAGCAGGCCACGAGTCACTCCTTGCCCCGCCCTCTGAAGGTTTGCCGCATGACCTCTGACTAATGCACAGGATGGAGAGGAGACTCGTCCTTGGCAGTGACCTAACTCTGCTCGGGGTGGAGCAGGGCTGTGGGGAGGAGTGCCACAGGCACAGGTGTGTGACATCGAGCACCAGCCCCAGAGCCTGGTACAGGGCCTGGGGAGCAGTCCTAGCCGTCAGTACCTGACCAGGGGGCGGGCACACTTTGGGCCTCTGGGAAGTCTCGGAGCCCAGGTCGAGGAGTAGGTAAGGTGTGTCTCTGGGAATAGGGTAAACCCTGGTGCCAGCGTCACTGGTGGGTGACTGGCGGCCAGCTGTGTGTTCCTGTTCCTGCCTGCCGTGTCTGGGCCCCAGTCCACCACTGCCCCTTGCTTCCAGTCATGTTTCCCCACTCGTCGAGCACTGCCAGCTCCTGGAGAGGCCCTCCCCTGTCACAGCTGTCCGAGAGCTGGTGCCCATGGGGTTGGAGAGCAGCTGGGTGACGCCCTCCACTTGCTGAGGCCTGGGCCTGTCTGCTATTCCAGGAAGTGTTTCAGGATTACCTTGGGCCTCCTGGGCCCGCGTGTCTCCGTGCCAACCGGGCTAAAGTCCAGGCCGCTTCTCCTGCTCTTCCTCCCTGGCAGGGCCAAGTCCCTCTTCAGCCTAGCATTTGGGGGATCCCAAGACACAGACAAATGGGGTGGGGCTGGAGCACTCCCTCATTATACTTGGGGTGGCTTGAGGGGCGAGATTGCTTGGTGTTTTTTGGTTTTTTTTTTTTTTTTTTTTTTGAGTATCAGGGCTCAAACTCATGACCTTGTGCTTGCCAGGCAGGTGCTTGTGCAGCTGAGCTAAATCCCCGGCCAAGACCACTTGTTAACTTTGCTTCTGTGTGGTCTTCTGTGATGTCATGACTTCCTGTGTCTTGAGTAGCATCATGACAGGTGGCTTTGCAGGGCATCAGCCCGGAGGCAGAGGAACATTGGAGTGAGCAGCCAGGCTAGGGTGCCGGCTGAGAGCTGGGGCATCCTAGTGTGTGCATGTGATCAGGGTGGGGTGAATGGGTGGCAGTGGGGGGGAGGGTCAAGTGCATGCTCAGGAGAGGCAGGCTGGGCATTGGGGAGTAGTCAGCAGGCCTGGGGTGAGTGGACTGTCGGTGCCGGGGGCCTCCTGCCTGCCCGGGGTGACCGCTCCCCCTCTGTGCACCAGGCCCCGACAATGGCCACCCTGTGTTGCATGGTGTCCTGTCCTTGGAGGCCTCTTTCCCTTGCTGCGGTAGGAGAGCGTGAGTAGGCACTCACGTGCGTGCTTCTATGTCTACGAAGGCACTGACATCAGGTGCCGGAATTGCTGTCAGTGTCCCCTCCTCCTGGCACCCACCACTCCCCTTTGTTTAGGACAGAATGTAGCCACAGTTTCGCCTTTTGTGCTTAGCTCTAACTGAGCATCATTGACCCCAAGTAGCTTTCCTAGGCTCAGTGACATCCAGTAGTTGGATGCACCCATCTCCTGGGCTGTTCTGCTGTCCATGGACACTGGGACCCTCGAAGCCTTTTCCCTGATCCTGCTGTGGCCACCCCTCTGTCCCACAAGCCTGTGTCTTTCCTGTTCCCACAGTCCTAGCTCCTGGCCAGACTTTCCCGTGTGTTCACCTGCCAGCTAGATGTCTCCACTTGGATGGCACTTCCAAGACGATGCAAAGCCAACTCAGATTATTGTCCCCTCTGGTGGACCTGACGTTGCCATTCTTCTAGTGGCCCAGACCAGATGTCTGGTGTCCTTGACCCTTCAATCCTGCATCCTGGTCCCCCACAATCCCTTCTAGTCCCTTTCTCAAAGTAGAACCTAATGGGAAACTGCCTCACCTCTTGACCCAGCTACCACCCTGTTCCTCTACCTCCCTCAGATCTGGGCAGGTCACCTGCTCAGTGATACACATGGGGGACCCTGGGCTCACCTGGAGCTTGCTGACCCCACTGTAGCCGGCTCAGGACAGTGCCCTGTGTGCTCCTGCGATGGAGGCCTCACTGTACCCCCACACCCTCCCCGGGAGCAGACAGCCGAGCCAGCTTTGGAAAATGACGTGTTTTATTGCTATGTTTGCAGTGGCTTTTTAGCACAGTAAGAACGTCCCTGCAGGCCCGAGCCCTCCCCAGCCCCGCCCCTTGGCTTAGGGCTCCATGTAGGGGAGCCCTTGGGGGCCTCCTGGCCGCCTTGGGCTTGACGGGACACGGACGTGGGTTAAAGCTGCTACACGGAAGACTTGAGATGCAGAAAGGGCATCAGCCTGAAGCTTGGTGCAGGGAGCCCAGCCCGGCAGGCAGGGTGTGGCCAGCCTGAGCGCCAGGTCCGGGTGTGTGGCCTCCTGCCCCAGACCTGGGCCTGGGTCGCGCACGCATCCACACGAGACTTGAGACTCGCACGCTCAACGGCTTGAAGCTTTGTTTTGCCTATGAAAATTAGATCTATAAATTCACACTCCTTGGCTGGGGACGGGCAGGGAGGAGGGCTTCCAGGGAAGGGAGTGGCGAGGGGGAGGGATGGTTTGGGCTCTTCTCTCTTTAGAAATATACAAGCAGGAATCTCACACTCAAGTTTTTATAAAATGTGCAAAATACAAGCCTCCTTTGCCAGAGGCACCGTTTACATCTGATATTGGCCTTCGTTAAGAGACGGAGATATATGCGTCCTGTACCCGAGAGCACGTGGAGGGGAGGTGGCGATGGCCATGGCCGTGGGAGCCACAAGTTCCGGGTTCTGTCCTCGCCAGTTGCTGGCAGCCTCTCGAAGCTTAGAACAGCCATAGGGAGCGGGGACTGGTCCAGCGGAAGCACTGGCTTCTTCCTGCTGTCCCCTCCCCTGCCCCCTCCTCTTCCCCAAGCTGCCACTGCTGCTGCCTAAAGAAGAGGCCACCTGAGGTGTCACAGAACAGAGCCTCTGAGGTGGGCCTGGTGAGGAGGGAGCAGTGGGGGAGGGGACCAGCTTGGCTAGGGTGGGGAGGAGAGGCATCTATTTTTGGTGGGTTGTGATATTTTTGGCGTTTTATTAAAAATGGAAAAAGTTGTTTTAGTTAGCACTCATGGTGCACCCTCCCCTCCCCCACCCCTGGCAGCCCCCGGAGTGGCAGGGAAAGGCAGGCCCCCCCAAGGGGTGGCTGGGGCTCAAGCAGGGGCTGCTATGGCTACCAGAGGGGGAGCTGGTGATGTGAACTGGGGTGGCTGTCACATGACACTCTCCACCACGACAACCTTGCTGCTTTCAGACACTGGGGTCAGGGTGGTCAGGCCCCTGACGTCCGCATCCTGAGCTCGGTACTCCAGGTGGTGGAGGCCCCAGACTGGCTGGGTCAGGTGCTGCCAGCGCTGCAGAAGAGGAGAGGAGAGGAGCAGGTGCCTGCGGGCTCTCCTGGCCCTGCCCCAGTCCCAGCTCCGGCCCCGGCCCCGGCAGGCGCCCAGTGCTCACCTCGGCCATGGTTCCCTTGGCCCGGAGGAGGCAGCCCAGCAGGTGCAGGGGCACACACAGCATGGACGAGAGCGCGAAGGCCCAGCCTATGGCCTCGCCCCACCATGGGTACACGTAGGTATTGTTGTAGACCAGTGGCTTGTAGTATACCACATTGAAGATGAAGATGCCCTGGGGGGGAGGCCGCACATCAGCTGGGCCCGCGGTGCCCCTCACCCGCCTGGCTCCCCCGGCCCTTACCATGCAGACCAGCGGCGTGAAGAAGGACCAGCACCATTTCATCCAGGGGCAAGGCCGGTACCCAATCATGCAGGCGATGTCGTCCATGAAGCGGTCAGCTCCTGTGCGGGCGGCGGCAGGGCCATACAGCTGCAGTCCCTGTACCCCCCACACACACCCTGCGTGTCCCATCCCCCCGGGCCTGGACCTACCGTATACCCAGGCCACCACCACGCACTCCCAAAAGGCCTGCCACAGTAGTGTGGTGCCACTGGCGGAATAGTAGTCGAATAGCTGGAAGACGTACATCCCACCCTGGAGGACAGAGCCAGGTAAGAGGCTGACAGCCAGGGGCCAGACCTCAAGGGCAACTGCATCCCAGGGCCACTCACGTCAGTCACCATGGAGAGGTCAATGACGAAGCAGAGGGCACAACAGAGGGCCACGGAGATCTCCCTTTGGAAACGGAAGTAGTAGGAGGCCGGGAGGAGGTCGAGCAGTCCGGTGATGAAGCCTTCCACACCTACAAACTGTGGCAGGGCAGCTCAGGCCCGGCCCTGCTCTGCCCTGCCCAGCCCGGCCCGGCCCGGCCTGGCACCTACCCCAGCGCCCGCCCCAGCTCCCAGCCTGGAGCTGCTACGAACCTGGCTGTCGAGCCCGAGCAGCAGCAGCATGAAGAAGAACAGGGCAGCCCAGAGCGGGGCCACAGGCATCAGCGTGACGGCCCGGGGATAGGCAATGAAGGCCAAGCCGGGCCCTGGGGGCAGAGGAGCGGGGTGAGACTGGCAGCACGTGCCTGCCTGCCCGGGGACACCCCAAGTCTGCCGGAGACGCTCACTCTTGTTGTGCCTCCAGACCAGGGCCCTCAGCAGGCCCCTGCAGTGCCCCTGCAGTGTCTAAGCCACCACCATCTTTGTCACCAGCGGCCACGGGCAGGGGTAAAGCAGGAGCCCAAGGAGACACTCCCTCTGCAGCACTGGGACAAGCACCTACCACCATGCAACCCCAGGGGCGGGGGAAGGGCCCCAAGCCCAGGGAGAACAGGGCCGTGCCATGCAGGGCTGCTCCATGCCGGCCTGTCTGGCCGGGGGGAAGTCGGCTGTCACTTTTCAGTTGCCATCTGCATGTGGCAGCATGCCACGCACACAGGCCAGTGCTGCTGCCCTGTAAGCAGGCCCAGGCAGAGGCTTACCTGACTCCGCCACCTTGGAGATGTGCACGCCCTGCTCTGTCGCCATGAAGCCCAGGATGGAGAAGACCACGAAGCCAGCAAAGAAGCTGGTCCCGCTGTTGATGAGTGCCAGGATGATGGCGTCCCTAGGGGCAGAGGGGCCTGGTAGCATCTGGCGTTCCCATGGGCAGGGTGTGGGGTAAGTGGGCAGTGGGCAGAGGACCCAGTGCGACGCCTACTTGTAGCAGTTGTTGTTGAAGCGGTTGTAGCTGCCCAGAGCTGTGAGCGCCCCCAGGCCAATGGCATAAGAAAAGAAAATCTGGGTCCCGGCGTCTATCCATACCTGTGGGAGGCACAGGCACAGTATGAGGGCAGGGCCCCATGGCATATCTCGCCCTGCTCCCAGCCTGCCAGGGGGTGGCTGTGCCACTCACCTGAGGGGACCCCAGCTTGGACCAGTCCGGCTTAAGATAGAAGATGATGCCGTCCAAGGCTCCGGGCAGCAGCACCCCGCGCACCAGCAGCACAACGAGGACCACGTAGGGGAATGTAGCAGTGAAGTACACGATCTAGGGGCCCAGGTGACTTGGTGGGGCACTGCACCCCACCTTAGGCTCAGCCCTGGAGCTCCCCATTCTGTCCCCACAGAGCCAGGACTCCCCACCGAGGGAAGCCAACAGCAAGGTCAGCTCAGGAAGGAGGGAAGGACAGGGCTACGACAGTCACCAAGGGTCCCATTTTGGCAGGGGAGTGGCCATGGGCAGAGCAGCATGGCCTAGGGGCACGGTCACAGGTCTCTCTGAGAGGCTGCAGGCCCAAGCTGCTCATCCTCAATAGGGAGGTGGAAGGCCTTAGCAGTCCAGGACTGTAACTGGGCCAGAGGCAAGAGAACGAGGGCTGGCCGGGGCCAGGGGCTCAAGAGAGGGGGAGGGACAGGAAAGGACCCTGGGAATGGGGCGCACAGGAATCCTGCCCTCTAGGGACCTGGTCGTCCCACAGCTCCTGACCCACTGTCCTACTATGTGCGAGTGCCTCTCTGCTCTGTGACAGGAAGCCCCCAAGGAAAGGCAGGACAGATGCCTGTAGGTTTCATCTGGTGCTCAGCTCAGACCGCCATGACTCAGGCAGGTGGGGCACCAGGGGACCCAGGGAGGAACAAAACAGGAGGCTGGGGGCGGGGTACCCACTGCCTGGCCTCTGCCTTTGGCATGGGGGTCTACTGGGCCCTGGTCTGGGTGTTGGAGAGGACTACCTGCCCAGCACTGCTGCGGGGGCATAGTGGCCTGGATCTGGGGACCTCTCCCTTTCCCCCTCACCCTGGTCCTGTCACCTCCTGGTGCCGTGTTGCCCCCTGCAGAAGCACAGGGCCCCCAGGTAGTGGTGCCCCCATCCTCCCTCTGGCAGCAGTACCTTCCCTGTCGACTTGACCCCCTTCCACACGCAGAAGTAGACCAGCACCCAGCAGGCCAGCAGACACAGGGTCACCTCCCAGTTGAGGTCCCCGGGCACCTCCAGCCCAGCTGAGAGCCGCAACACTTTGTTCCTGGGGCAGGACAGAGGGAGTGCACAGTGAGGCTGGGAAGGCCTCCATGGGTGTGGCCCCTCTGTTCCGTCCTGCCTACCCTGTGCCCCTGACCTTCTGGAGGTGGCAGTAGACTGCTGGCCTGCTCCAGGACCATGGGCCAGGACGCCCCCACACGCAGTCCCCAGTTCTTAACAGGATGAGGTGACAAATGCCACTGAGGAACAAGGCCCACCTCAGCCCTAGAGAAGGGCAAATCCCCAGGGCTGGACTGCATGTGGGGTGGGGTGGGGATGGGTGGAACAGGACAGATTGGGCTTGGCCCAGAGGCGCCTGACTTACTCCCAGAACTCGATGACAGGGGACCGGCGGTCAGCAAGCTGGTCACATGTTAGGTTGGCCAGGCTGGCATTGGCACAGTCTTCATGGCGGAATATCTCCACGCAGTCCCGAGTGTTCCAGGTGTGGCCACATGTGGCCCAGGGCAGGGTGGTGGTGAAAGACTTGACCAAGTAGTAGAAGCCCCAGGCCAGCACCATGATGTAGTAGGTGTTGCAGTAGAAGACGATCACCATGGAGGCATAGCCCAGGCCTGAGGACAGTGGGCTCTGGTCCCTGTGGCTTCTGTTTCTGGCCACCCCAGGTCACATCCCCTCCCAGGGCTGCTCCCTGGCCAACTCCTAGCAGCCACATCCTCCTCTCCTACCAGAGCCTTCTCCATTGCATGCCTGAGATGTGCAACTGCCCCAAACCCCGCCTGGTATCCTGAGCAGGCCACCTCCCTCACGTGTCCCCTGTACTTCATCTCCTCCGTGCATTGCTCCTGTCCCCCTCGTCATATCCTTTGCTTGTCCAGCTGCACATGCTGGTACCTGTCCTGGTGCCACTGCCATCACAATGTTCAGCCACTCTGGGGGCCTGCACGGGGACAGGGGACAGCTCCCTGAGCAGTATGTGGGCCTGGCAGCTTACCTTTGAAGACGGGACAGATGTTCCAGACGTTGATGCTGCCGGCCTTCATGAACTGGCCCAGCGAGATCTCCAGGAAGAAAATGGGGATCCCTCCGATCAGGGCGATCAGGACATAGGGAATAAGGAACACGCCTGGGGGAAGCATAGGGGTCAGGGGGACCACAAGAATATGCCAAGGTGGCACCCTGGGCCGGGAGGGAGCATGACCAGACCCCTCAGCTGCTGGCTGAAGCCCCAAGGCTCCCCACGGAAGGGGGATTGGTGGGTCCCTGATCTGCAAGGAGGGGCTAGGGCTGGCCCTGTTCCCTGGCTGTGGTGACCTGCTGGGCACGGAAGACACGTATGCACATGCATGTGGGCCATCCCTTGTGCTGCAGCTCCTGGAGGAAGCCAAGGGCACGTGCATGTTATCATGTGCGTGTGCTCCAGGGCCAGGGCTCTTGTTGAGACAGGGAGGCCCTGACTGCCCTGCACTCTGGACGGTCTGGGGGGAGGCAGTCACCCCCTGATGCCCTGTTGCTGTGCAAGGGCAGCCCCAGGCTTAGAGAAGGGGATGCCCCATGCCGGACAGAAGGACAGAGGGACGCAGGGGCTGCTACAGCCCCTGCTGCTCCTCTGGGCTCCTCTCTGACCCCGCCCTCTGCCTGCTCAGCTCCATGACCAGCCAGGTAGCCAAGCTCCTGTCCCAGCATCCTTCCTGTGCATGACCTTGGGCAAAGGCCTTTCCCCTGGGCCTCAGTTTACCCCCAGTGCCCAGTCCCTTCCCCTCTCAACAGGCAGGCCTGCTGCTTTGCAGTCACAGGACACATGCGTGTCCTCCGATTGTTAAGCCGGGCCGGGTTGGCGGGCAAGGGGTGTGCATGTAGTGTCGGCCGGTGGCGCCAGGCGGGCCAGGCCGCAGGCTTCCCAGTGTTCCAGGCCCGGGCTAGAGGGGAAGGGAGGGGGAGGAGGGCACGGGGGTGGGACAGAGTGGCCCATTGTGTGTGTGTGTTCGCGTGTGCACAAGTGGGGGGCCACACAATGTGCTGCTTGTGTGCCCAACCCTCAGGGGCAACCAGGACCTCACCTCCCCTTGGTTGTCCCCAGGGGACAGGCCCTTCCTACAAGGGGTCACTGGGGGAGCCCTGGTCTGGGCTGGGGGGTCTGAGGAAGCCCTCCTCTGGGCACCATGGGACTGGCCGCTTCCCCCCACCCCCAGGCACATGACCGGGAGGGGGTGGAGACCCAGGCAGTTGAGGCTCAGACTGCTGAGGGAGTTAGGGGTGCCCGGGTCTCCAGGTGTCCTGGGGGCCTCCCCACTCCCTGGACTTCGCCCTGGCTCCTCCCCAAGGCTCCTCCCCGACCTGGTGGTGGGCAGGGGCGGGCTAGGGGAAGGGACCCCGAGGTGGGCTGCACGGTGCTTACCTCCACCATTCTTGTAGCACAGGTAGGGAAAGCGCCACACATTGCCCAGGCCCACAGCGAAGCCCACGCATGACATGATAAAGTCCATCTGGCGGGTCCAGGTCTCCCGTGGCGGCACAGCCAGGCCGCCGCCTGTCGCCCCCAGGCTGGCGGGGCCATCGCCCTTGGCCGGGGCCCCATCTGGCCCGGGCGCGATGAGGGGACCCTTCTTCTCGTCGCCGGACACGCTGTAGATGCCGTTCTCCGTGCTCTTCTTCGCCATGGCCCAGGAGGGCCGGCTGGGCCGGGGGTGCTGGGGCGGCCCGGGTGGCGGCGCCTTGTGGGGGGCGGGCAGGCTACTGGGGGCGCCGGCGGCACCCGGGGGAGAACCCCGAAGGCTCGGGCCACCCGGGGGCCTCGGGGACGGCCGGGCCGGGGAACGGGGCGGCGGGCGGGTGGGGTGTGGGACGGGGGCGCAGTCAGAAGCAGTCCACGAAGCACTTGAAAGTGAGCCTGAAGAATCTCATGTGTGTCGGGGGCCCGGGGGCGCGCGGGCTGTGGCGGGGCCCGGCCGGGCGGTGGCGGCGGCTCCCGAGGCTGCTGCCCGCGACTCGGGTGGCAACCGCAGCGGCGGCGGTGGCAGAGGCGGTTTGCTTTGCCCGAGGCTCAGCCTAGCGGGGCGCCGGTGGCATTGGGCGCCCGCTGTGTGCAAGCGGCGGCGGGAGCAGGGGCCTTCGGCCCTCGCCCCCTGCCCCCCGCCCCGGCCTGGGCCCAGGCGGCTGTGCTGCGCGCCTGCGGCTCTGGTGGCTCCGGTGGCTCCGGTGGCTCCAGCAGTGGGCAGTGGTGGCTCTGGTAGTGGTGGCGGCGGCGGCGGCGGCTTCAGCCGCTCTCAGGGCCGCAGCGGACTCAACGACTTGCCACTGCGCTCAGGCTGTCCCTCTCCTCCCCAGCACGACCGGCTGCTGCTTAAGAACCGGCTCAGGGTGATGTCACCATCGCCCCACCCCCACGACCGGGCCGCTCCCCTCCCCCACAGCCCTCTCGCCCTCCCCGTTACTCCGCCTACTGCCTGCCGCCCGCCTCCCGAGGAGACGCCGCCGCCTTGGGGAGCGGGATGGCTGCTACCTGGGGCTGGGCCAGCCAGAGCGCGTCCCCCGGCGCCCCCCACCCGCTCACCTGCGTCGCTGGCCCGCCCCTCTTAGCTCTAGGAGCCTACGCCCGGGTCTCCTCCTCCTAGGCAGGACTCTCCCCTTCTCTCTTCTAGCCTGGACGCTGCACTCCCAGGGGCGCGCCCTTCCCTGAGATCCCTTGCCGGGTCCCATCTGTAGCCCTGCTTGGACCCTCGAAGGGGATGTGGGATGCGGGCTGCTATGGCCTCTTTCTAGCAACTGGTGGTGGGGCTCCACCTCTAGGTGTGCTCAGAGGCTCAGCAGATGTTCAGCTGGAGAGCTGGGGCTCTGCTCTTGGGGTGATAGAATCTACAAGTCTCCAAAGTAAGTGGAGCCTGCCTGGCTGAAGGGGAAGGCAACACTTCCCCACTGAGCCAGACAAGGGGACTCCTGCACTATTCCTGCCTGCTGCAGGGGAGGGCAGGGCAGGAACGGGGTAAGGCTGCCCCCTGCTGATGGGCAGATTTGCTTGAGGACACAGTGCCCCAGGTTGGCCCACCTCCTCAATGTGAGGACCCCAGGCTTGGGAAAGCCAGACTGCAAATCCTGGGCTCATTGTCTGGGATAGGAGTGGAGCGTGCCTGCTCCCAGCAGGCCCCAGATGGTTCCCCCAGTCCTGCTAAGATAAGCCCTCTGGCAGCTTTAGGCAGGCAAAGCGGTTCCAGCCCCGACCAGATTGTGCCTGTGAGGCGAGGGCGGGGCTCCTAGCCTGCCACCTCAGGAGCCCATGGGAGCATCAAGGGGCCTGCTGTGCCAGGCTTCGGAGCCACAAGGCTTGTCAGAGGTTCCTCACCTGGGTCTTCCCTGGCCCCATCGAGAACCAAGGCAGGCGCCTGCACAGGTCTCAGGGGTGTGACCCAGGCAGCCTGGACTGGCTGGAGCCTCCCAGGGAGTGAGGACAGAGGGCACTTCAGACAGGACAGATGGGAATCCCATGGCATGCACAGCTTAGGGACAGGGTGGGGCTGAGATCCGACAGTGCCCCAGGTGAGGACAGAGGCCAAGCAGGGCCACAACTGGGAAGGGGAGGGGGAGGGAGGACTGAGTGGGAGGGATGGGACCCTAAGGGACTTGAGAAGGATTTGGGTGCGCCCCGTGGTGACACTGCCCAGTGGTGACACTGCTATGGTGACAAGAGCAGGGCTGGGAGCCAAGGGTGGGGGCTGCTGGGTGGGGAAGCCTGTGCCAAGGTCAGTGCATGAGCACGAGGAAGCCATCACCGTGGGAGAGGCTGCCAAGGGACAAGGAGGCTGAGCTGACCTCTAGGGCTCCTGGGGCCCCATACCTGCCTTTGTCTGGCAGTGACACCATTTTGTAGGTCCCCAGCACCCCGTGGGACACCCAGGGCCCCTCTGAGTCTCCCATGCCAACGCCCCTCTGTGCAGGGCCTGGGGGCCCTTAGCAGCCCTGGGGACCCCCAGGAGGCCCCTGTATGTGCTTCCTGTCCCTTTGGCTTCTTTCTCAGGCTCAGACAGAGAAAGCCCAAGAGTCCTCCCAAGGGGAAGGGATGAGGACTCCTTGCTCAGGTCCCCTCTGCCTCCTGCCAGGGCTGGCCAAGCCCTACACTCTGGCCTTCACTGTCTAGAGGAGGAGTGTGGGCGGAGAGGGGCTGCATCTCCAGGGCTTGGCACAGTCTTGCCTTGGCCCTGAGGGTCATCGGCTGCTGGGGGGGGGGCAGCAGGTGACCCCTCCTGGGGTCTAAGCTGATGACCAGAGGCCCTCACCCCTCACCTGTCCATCCAGGCCCAGGTGTGCTCACAGCAGCAGGACCTGTTCAGACCCCAGGTGAAGAGGTGCTGGGGGAGGGGTGGAGAGCCAGGAGGAGGTGGGGAGACCTGGGGAGTCTTGGGTAGCAGCCAGCCTGTGAGCAAGTGAGGAGTGAGCTCGGCAGCCTTTGCATACAGAGGACCTGGGCAGCTGGAGAGAGGGCAGAGCCACCCCTCTGGAGGCAGGGGCATCTGGTGCAGTTCGCTTCAGAATTACAATGAGCTGGGAACAAAGGGGAGGGTAGGTCCACCTGGCAGGGCTTTGTGCTCCCAGCCCCTCTGGGGAGGGGGCAGATGGGGCTGGGGTCAGGGGTTGTGGGGCTGGGGGTACAACACAGAGGCCTAGGGCCCACTGAAGGGCAGTGCCTGCTCACATGGCCCCTCTGAGGGGTGTTTATCTTTGTTGTTGACATTTTGTATACACTTTCTCTGTGACTACTTTTCCATGTGCAGAAAAATGCAGACATTCGACAGCGTCACACAGCCCACCCGCCCCGCTGTGGCCTCGCATACTGGCACAGCGCATCCCTTCCTGCGCTGCATGAAGCAGTAGCAGGCCGTGGCTGTTAGGTAGTGCTTGCAGCTGACTTGGCTGGCCTTAGCCACTCCCCAGGGATCGTCTCCTGCCCAGCATCCCAGTGGCCATCGTGTCTCCACAAGCTCCTCGGTCATTGTTTATGTTGGAGACAGGGTCTTGCTATGTAGTTCAGGCTGCCTTTGAACTCACTATGCAGTTCAGGCTGGCTTCAAACTCATGGAGTTGGTGAGCCAGACAGTTTGGAGGCGGGCTGGTTAGGTGGAGACTGCTCATCTCCTGAGGACCTGACTCTCTCTAACATCAGCGTGTGAGAGGGAGAAAGCGGACGAGAGAGGTCACTGATCCTAGCAGGGTTTGTGCTGTCAGCATAGTGGATACTGTTGATGCTGACCTTGATCACTTAGCTGAGGCGTGAATGTCAAGTGTCCCCACTGTAAAGTGACCTTTTTTCCCCTTTTCCATGCTTACTCTGGAGAGAAGTCACTGTGAAAGCCACAGTTAAGACAATTTAAAGCAGGAAGCGCTCAGTGTGGCTCATAGTGTCCAAGCGTTCAGTCCATGGTCAATGGGCACCATTGCTTTTAGGTCTGTGGTGAAAAAGAAACACCACGGCAAAAAAAAAAAAAAAAAAAAAAAAAAAAAGAAAAAGAAAAAGAAAAGAAAAGAAAAGAAAAAAGAAACACCATGGCAGAGGACACGACGAAGGGGTCAGAGAGGAAGCTCTCATGATTGAGTCACCTCCCAAGGCCCATCTGCTGTGAGCGGTGCTGCACAGGGCCCGGCCCCAAACACAAGAGCCTTGGGGAACACATCCTGTATGACCATCACAGTCCGCTTTCTATTGGCAAACAAGGCCTAGACAGCCAGCTTCTGGCCAGGAGGGGTTTGTGTTAGCTGATGGTGTCTGTCCATACAGTGTATGGTTGGTGACCCTGTGGCCTGCAGACCTGTAGCAGAGCAAAGCAGCTCACCTGCAGCTGGGAGGCAGAGACCAAGAAAGGGGGGTCATAAATTTCTCTCAAGGCCACACCCCAGTGACCAGACTTCCTCCTGGCAGGCCATGCCTCCTAAAGTCTCACCACTTCCCAACAGCACTATGGGCTGGGGACCAAGCGTTCCACACATGGGCCTTTAGGAGACATTTGACATAAAACCTAAGCAAGAGGAGAATAGCTCTATACAGCCATCCATCATTCCTCTGTCTGTCCTTCTGTCCATTCTGTCAGCCAGCCAACCAGCAGTACTGAGGATGGAACCTGAGGCTCTTTTCATTTCTTATTTTGACACAGGTTCTCTCAAAGTTGCCCAGGGTGGGCACATAAAGCTTTCCATCCTCCCCAGTGGATCAGAGTAGAGGAAACAGAAACAACCCCAGGCACATTCAGCTATTTGATATTTGACAGTGGGGCCAGAAACACACACTGGAGGAAAAGTAGCCCCTTCAGCAAATGGTGCTGTGTGCAGAGGTTGAGTGTAGACCCATAAAATCTCATGTGCACCAAACTACAATCAAAATAGGGTGGAAACTCTAAATGTTAACTGGGCTTGCCTATAATCCTAGCACTAGGGAGGATGAGGCAGGAGATCACTGCAAATCTGAGGCTAGCCTGAACTATATATAGTGAGATCCCATCTCAAAAAAACCTCACACATTAAAAAAAATCTAAATGTTAAAACAAATATTTAATCTGCTAGAAAACAAGATAGGTAAAACTTGAAGATATAGACCTAGGCAAGGATTTTGTGAATAGAGCCCTAAGGCACAAGAAATAGCACCAAAGCTGGGCATGGTGATGGGAGCCTATAATCCCAGCATTATAGAGGCTGAGGCAGGAGGATCTCTGTAAATTTGAGACCAGCCTGGGCTACAAAGTGAGCTCAGGGTCACCCTGAACTGCATAGGTAGATACTGTCTCAAAAAGACAAAAAAGGAAAAGAAATAGCACCAAGAACCAACACATGGGGTCATGTCAAATTAAAAGCTTGCACAACAAAGAAAAAAAATCAACAGAGTGAAGAGTCAGTCTATAGAATGGGAAAAGATGTTTTCCAGATATTTCTCAGAATATTAATATCTAGAATATAGCGAACTAAAAAAAGTTGATCCACCAAAAAGGCGCAATCAAAAAACAGGCAGGTGAGATGAATAGACATTCTCAGAAGTACAAATGGCCAATAAATCCACGAAGCCATGCTCAGCATCTCTGGTCATTGGAGAAATGCGAATCAAAACATCACTGAGATTCCAACTCACCCCAGAAAGAATGGCTGTTGTCAAAAAATCAAGTAACAACAGATACTGGCCAGATATGGTGATGCACACCTGTCGTCCAAGCACTAAAGAGGCTGAGACAGGAGGAGGCTTCCTGAGAGTTCGAGGCCAACCGGGCTACATAGCGAGTTTCTAGGCCAGCATCAGCTTCCTAGAGAGACCCTACCTCAAAACAACAAACACATACTGGAGGGGCTGCGGGGAAAAGGGTCCCTC